TCAACGGCCAGCTCGTCCACTAGGTTCAAGTCGATTCGAGGCGATTCGTCCTCCTCGTCAAAGGGCCAGTCCTCTTCGTCCAACGAGGCTGCTAAACCAACGGGGGAGGGAACGCTACGGCCGTCAGGAAACGGCATAACATCTAAAAGCTTATCCCTAAGGGTGGTTTTTCGGATCAAAGTGGTTTCCCTACAAACACTAGATCTAACCCCCTAGGAAGCAAAGTATAAGGAAAAAACGAAGAACAAAGAAGAATCTAACCTTTGAAGATTTGAAGATCTGGAAACGATTGATGAAGACTTGAAGGAACACTCCGAGGGTTTCTCTCTCTAGAAAGTTTGACAGCACTTCGTTGCTCAGCAAGGTTGCAAATGAGGTATCGCCTCGGGGGTTAGGGGTATTTATAAACACCCCCTACAACGGTCACTACACGTGGCGATCTTCAATTGGCCACCTCAACGGCGCCTCCCCTAGAACCAATCAAACGCATGTCTTTCCACATTCCACCCATTAAGGCCACCGCTACGGCCCAACAGGCCCCAAAACTAGGGGTAGGCACCGGCCTACTCACTCAAAACCAAGGAGAAACCCGCTACGGCCAAATTTTACCAAAGACATGGCCGCATCAGCGAAACACGCTACGGCCCCAAAGCAACCCCAAGAAACACAAGTACCGCTACGGCTATTCACGCGCACATCGTTTGATGATGACCCTGGTATCGCGGCCTTCGTCCAAGGGTTCTCCCACAGGGTTACCTTGGACAGGTTCGCCTAAGGGTTGGACTCACGACTAACGCGAGGTACCGTATCGGCTCGAGAACATCATAACTCCCTTGTGCCTCAAATACTCTTCGGCCAAAGGAGTGGGGGACTGGGGGACTGTATCGGCCACAAGAAAGGAAACAAAAAGGGAGCGCAACGGCCTTAATGCAAAAGGGTGCGCTACGGCCCGCCAATTACAAAAAGCACTAAGGACCGCATCGGCTCACCAGAGCAAGAACCCACAAATCAAACGCTTCGGCTACATGACAAATCAAAGGCGTGCATCGCATCGTCTACGTAAATGGAATCAACCATCTCCATCTCATGAAAACATGTCATCGCTACGGCCAAAAGAATAGATGGCGAGCTCTTCGGCCCCAACAAGATGACGGCGAAAGCATGCCAACTTATCCACACCAGAATTCATCACATCATCTACAAAAAAGAAAGCGCATCATCCTCAAGACACTTCACAGAGAGCGCATCGGCCGCACCAAGGCTGTGGATCCTCAAGCGCGCTACGTCTACATCAAATGAAGAAGCCGCTTCATCCAAAATCAAGGCAGATACTCTTCGGCCACCAAGCGCCTCAAGCTCTCGCGACGGCCAGCCAGGAAGGAACAAATACTCCCTTTCGCTTCGGCTTCGCCTCAGCTCAGAGAGTGGGGGACTCCTGATAGAGTATATGGGCCTGGACCCCATGGCCCACATACTCAAGTCAACGACGGCCAGAAGAACACCCACGTGGCCCCTTCGGCCAGTGGGTCCGCATCGGCCAGAAACCAAACCGGCCCAGGAGGCACGCATGGACTCCCGGGACCGCATCGGCCCATGGACCGCATCGGCCATGGGACCGCATCGGCCAAAAGGCACCGCATCGGCTCGGCTTCGTACGGGCAGAATGCTTCTCTCTACTTTATTTACTAAGTATTGTACACAGCCCATTAGTGGCCCTATTTCGCCCAAAGAAGGCATGATTATTGTAATGGGCCTCCTAAGCCCAAGGCTAGGAGCCCAAACCCACATTTTTACCTATAAATAGACCCCATGGGGCTAATTATGGGGGGTTCCAAGTTGAGAAATATAATTACTCACTTTCTCTCTCTAGCTCTCACTTCTCTCTAGAATTAATACCCTATCAATATATATATATATACATATATATATATATATATATATATATATATATATATATATATGTTCAAATGAGAACACCCCTTAATGTGAGAAGTGAGAACAAATCCTAACAAGAGTGGATTTGAAGACTTGAATGAGTACTAGAGATATTTTAGGACGGATCTCAAATATTTAGGGTTGGGTTTTTTTAATTTCGTTGATTGTAGTAGTTTTCTCTTCTTGCTTTCCTTTTCTTTGGTTTTTCCATGTTTTTTTTATTTCTTTGTCCTCCCATTTGCTTCTTCATTAATAAAAGTTCTTTACAAAAAAAAATCATAACCATTCAAAATATGTGATGATATGCGATCAAATAAATGGTAGTAGAGGGCATTTACGTCTTCCTCTTTGTTGTTAGTTTAACTAGTAACTTCACCCGTGCGTTGCACGGGTCGCTCACTTCTATTAATTTATATTTGTTAGATACAGTCATACAGATAATCTAATATAATTGATCGCTTCTATTAGTTTAGGGGAAACCGTCAAATCGGCTTTCAAAGTATACTAAAAGGCCAATTAAGTTCTTGAACTAAAAAAACACCAATTAAGTTTGTGATCTATGCCAAACCGTCAAATTTGTAATCTAGCCGGTTGATTCTCGATTAGCCAGTGACTCTGTTGATGTAGGGGAAATTTTATGGAGCCCTATATGACTCCACCATGGAGTCATATAGCACATGTGTCACCATCACAATCATTCATTCATGAAGTAGGGTCCTCCACTATAAATCCACTATAGAAATGAATGGTATTGATAATGCCACATGTGCTATATGACTCCATAGTGGAGTCATAGAGGGTTCCATAAAATTTTTGGTTGATGTAGAATTCATATGTCATTTTTTGCCTTTTTTTTTCTTTTCCTTCTCGTTTCCCTTTTTTTATTCAGGTCACCTCCCTCCTCCCACCTTTCTTTCTTACCTGATTCTTTCTTCTTCGGGATGAACATACCACCCCCATCCCTCTCTCCTTCCCGTTAGTTTATACTCCATATTATATTTGTTGCATAATAATAGTCTAACAATCTAATATTATCGTAGATTGGATCAGATTGTTTTTAAAGATGAACCCGAACCCGTTTTGGAACAATTTATAGGTCTTAATGTTCATAGTACAACTTGTTAGCCTTATTGTGTATCACTTTTCATGATTCAGATATAAGATCAGCCAGTTGGTCATTCCTCACCCTCCACCAAATATTAGTGACACAAATTTCTTGGTATGATATGGTTTCAATCCCAAACCAATTTTCATCTTACGCGAATGATAATCCCAACATACTTTTTTGAGATAATGTATTCGAGGTTGACTGGTTTAGCTAATCCATGTGATTTAGCCATCCAATTGGCTCAGGTTTATAAAAATATATGTAGTACTTATTTTGAAATTTCTAAACGTTTTTGGTGTATTTAGAGTAATTATTTATGAATATTCAATGATTGCTCACCAATTGATATAATAGAAAAATCATTAAAAGGATCATTGTTCACAAATTGGTATAATAGAAAAATCTCTGCCTCACGAATCTAACATCTACTAGGTATTACTTTAAAAGAATCTATTTTGAATCTAACATCTATTACTTTAAAAGAATCTACTTTGTGTAGCCTTAACAATAGTAAGGGTTTATATAACAGTAAAAATGCATGAAATACAAATGGACCAATGACCAACGGTGGCAGAAATTTCGATTGATTATTATATACTCCGTATTATATTATTATTATTTTTTAGAAAATGTATTTCATATTGTAATTTTTTTTCTCAATTCTCAAATGTAGTACCTATTTCAAATAAATGCACTTGAAGTTTTTTTTTAATATGCCGCATTTGTAGAAATAAGTAGGAAAAAAGAAAGGAAAAAAAATTGTAATCGGCCCGGCCCGTGACCGGCTAACCACCGGGCCAGTCTAGGTTTCAAAGCAAAAAAAATAGGCCCGGCCGGGTCGAGGCCCAAACCAGACCGAGTCCAAGACTACTGCTAGGGGCTAAATGTGTCAGCATATACTACTCTCCAGAGGACAGCCATTATTTAACTATGAATCTATGATGATGGAGTATCCTCTTGCAAAGCAGAGGTATACAAGGTGTGGTCAATTGCTTAGCTTTTCAATTTTAATTATCTGGTATCATGCTTCCTTACTTAGGATATTAATATGACAGTTTATAATATGCAATTTTCCATACAAAATAGAAAACGGCGGTAAAGACTTATTTTCAGAGTTTTGTTAGTTTGCAAAAAAAAATGCATTTGGTCATACCTTAAGGTTAGAATTACCCTTTGAGTGACCCTTTTGTTTTAAACTATTCCATTTGGTCATGCCACCAGGCATATTCTTCTTTAGGATTTGGCATTACATTTCGATCTGGTCCCCTTTTTATTTTGAACTCTTCTTTTTCGAATAAAATTTGAGTTCATTTTCATCAAACACTTTCAATCATAACAAAATAAGGGGCATGGAAAAGTGATGTCAGTGCCATAACCCAGCAATGATCATATGACATTTTTTTCAAGCAAGAAAAGTACCCCAAACAGCATTGTCCTTTAACTTGACAAAAAATATGTAATCTATCTTCAATATTTCTTATTTACGTATCTATTTGTTTCTTTTTTCCAGCTTTCTTTTCAGATTGCATTCGATATGCATTTTTAGATTTTTCATCTATTAGGGTAATTTGTTTTAAGAAGCCAGGACCTCAATGGACAACTCAAGCCAGAAGCTATAAGTGGCTTCACAGAATCAGAAATGATAAAGACTAAAGAAGTAACGATAAAATTCTTTTCAGATGAATCTTCACAAATTCAGAAGATGTCATGAACAATTGTGCTCATCTCCTTCTCAAAAACTTTGGCTCTTATTTCCCAGAAGATCTTTTTTCTATTTTTGAAACGTCCCACAACAGATGAGCACGCATGGATGTCTATCAAGAATAAATGCTGGGCTGATTGCTGTTTCCTTATGATTAATTAGTAGTTGTTGGGCCATTTGTTATTTGGGCTTTATTAGTAGTTCTATCCTATTGTATAAATATAAAGTATGTACTGTAGTTCATTATCGAGCTATTCATTCTCTTCTACATTGTTCTATCAATAATTCTCAGATCATCTTCTCCAAGTGATATTCTCCAAGAACCTCATTTTTCTGCTTTATCTTTGTAATATGGTATCAGATTAGCCTAAACACGATCTATATTCTCTCTTCCGTTCTTCCGTTGTTATTTCAATCGATTTCTACAATCGGTTCTCCTTAATTGATTTCTACGATCGATTCGTTCAATCCTACTATGAATCCTCCAAACCCTATTGAGGATCCTACTTCTCCTTACTATCTTCATCCAGGAGATCACTCGGGTACCCGCATCATCTATGAAACCTTCACAGGCGACAATTTCAGTGCATGGAAGAAGTCAGTTGTTATGTCCTTCACGGTCAAGAACAAGCTAGGGTTTCTGGATGGATCGATCAAACAACCTTCAACTGATGATCAGATGCGTTATTCTTCTTGGTATCGTATCAATGCTCTTCTCCTATCTTGGTTGATGTATTCTATTTCTCCTGATATTCGTTCCACTTTTCTGTACTTTACTGATGCCAAGAATCTCTGGGATGAGATCAAGCTTCGTTATGATAAGAGCGATGGTCCCAGGGTTTTTCATCTGGAGAAAACCCTAACTAATATTTCTCAAGGAACACAAACCATCACTGCTTATTATAATCTTTTTAAAAGTCTGTGGGATGAATATGTGAATTACCGCCTTATTCCTACTTGTAACTGTGGTCTCTGTACTTGCAAAATCAATGAAGTTTATCAAAAATTGCTTGACCGAGATTCTGTTATGAAATTCCTCATTGGTTTGAATGAATCTTACTCTAATTTGAGAAGTCAAATTCTTCTTCAACCAAATCTGACTCTGACCACAGTATACTCTTCTTTTCTTCAAGAAGAATCCCAAAGATCTCTTCAGAATCCTACTGGTTCTATTCCACTTTTCACTGATCAATCCTCTGCTTCTCAAATCCCTATTCATGACTCCACTGCTTTTCTTGCCAAATTCCATTCTTCTAAAAAGAAAAGCAATGTTACTTGTACTCACTGCGGTTACCAAGGTCATTCAGCTGAAAAATGTTTCCAAATTATTGGTTATCCCAACAACTGGAAAGGACCTAAAGGTCAAAGATTTGCCCCTGGTTTCAAATCTTCTCAACTTTCAACAAAAACTCCTCAAGCTCATCTAGCAAATGTTTCTGAGGAATCTATTCCTAATGACTTGGATTTCTGTGATCCTGACCTTTACAACAAGTTTCTTCAGTTTATGCATACTCAACAGACAAAGTCTGCTTCTGCTAATGTTGCTTCTGCTAATGTTGCTCTGGCTATTAATGATGCTGGTGATACTTCTCTCACCAATCACAGTGAGTTCATAGGTAAACATTTTAGTTTTAATGCTTTTAAAAAATTTCCTATCTGGATTCTTGATACTGGTGCATCTGACCACATGATTTCTGATTTCTGTCTTTATACTTCAAACACTAAATCTATTTCTATAAATATTCAATTACCAACTGGTACTTTTATTCAAGCTACTCATATAGGAGACATTATTCTTACTGATAATCTGACATTGCATAATGTGCTTTATGTTCCTAATTTCAGTTTTAATCTCATTTCTGTCTCTAGTTTAGCCCTCTATGAGAACATATCTGTTCATTTTAGTTCCAATCATGCTGCATTGCAGGACCACCTTACCAACAAAATCATTGGCTTTGCTGAAATTCAAAATGGACTATATCATTACAATCCTGCAACTTCTTCTTTCCCAAACCATCATCAATCTGCTTTCCAATCTGTTGCTAATTCTGCAAACACTCATTCTGAAAGTCCTGATATTTGGCATTATAGATTAGGTCATTTTCCTTATACAAAGTTCAACATGCTGTTTGATTGTAATGTTGCTAATAATTGTACTAGTACTGTTCCTTGTGATATCTGTCACTTTGCTAAACAAAAGAGATTACCTTTCAATAACAGTGATTCTTATGCTACTTCTGCTTTTGATTTAATTCATATGGATGTTTGGGGACCATATAGAGTTACTTCTTATTCTGGTTTTAAGTATTTCCTTACTATTGTTGATGATCATACTCGTTGTACTTGGGTTTTTATGCTAAAAACAAAATCTGAAGTTAAATTTCATATGATCAATTTTCATAAAATGATTGAAACTCAATTTCATAAAAGAATAAAATGCATTAGAACTGACAATGGTACTGAATTTATTTTTCCAGATTTTTATAAAAGAAATGGTATTATTCATCAGCTTTCTTGTGTTGAAACTCCTCAACAAAATGCTAGGGTTGAAAGAAAACATCAACATATTCTTCAAGTTGCTAGAGCTTTATTATATCAGTCTTGTTTACCTCTTATTTTTTGGGCTGATTGTGTTATGACTGCTGTGCATATTATCAATAGATTACCTACTGCAATTCTAAAAAATAAATCCCCTTTTGAATTACTTTATGGGATCAAACCTAATTATTCTCATCTTAAAGTTTTTGGGTCTCTTGCTTATGCTTCTACCCTTTGTGCAAATAGAACTAAATTTGACCAAAGGGCAATTAAGTGTGTTTTTATTGGATATCCTTTGGGATCCAAAGGATATAAACTCTATGATTTATCCAATCATAAAATTTTCATTTCAAGAAATGTTAAATTTTATGAAATGATCTTTCCATATAAAAATACAACACTTGATTCTATATCAAGCATGACAGACAATTCTCAAACACCAAATAACATTGATTTGTACACTTTTGAAAGTTATCCAAAACAGTTAAACACTCAACCTACTTCTGAAAATCATTATGACCATATTGAAAACCAAATACATGATGAAGCTGCTATTTTTAATCACCATGATTCCTCAAGTTTGATGCAGGATAACAACAATGCTAGTATGGTTGAACAACATGTTCAAAGACAGTCTACAAGAGTAAGATTTGTCCCTATTCATCTTAAAGATTATGTATATGAGTTACCTGGTTCTTTAGATAAGACCACTAATGCTAATACTTCTGTTTGCAATTTCATTAGATATCCCATAAGTAACTATATTACTTATGACAGATTAACCTCTTCCCATAAATGTTTTACTGCTGCCCTTTCTAACACCATTGAACCCAAAACTTACCAACAAGCTATAAAATTTCCTGAATGGAAAAAAGCCATGAATGATGAAATTCAAGCTCTTGAAAATAACAAAACCTGGATTCTTGTCAACTTACCTGAACATCAACATACCATAGGGTGTAAGTGGGTGTTCAAAACTAAATTCAAATCTGATGGTTCTTTAGATAGATACAAAGCTAGATTAGTAGCAAAAGGTTATACTCAAGAAGAAGGTTTAGATTACTTTGATACTTTTTCTCCTGTTGTTAAGCTTACAACTGTCAGAATACTTCTAGCTATTGCATCTGCTAAGAATTGGTATTTGCACCAACTTGATGTAAATAATGCTTTTTTACATGGTGATTTATATGAAGAAATATATATGAAGGCTCCTCCAGGTTATTTAGCAGCTGATGACAACAGAGTCTGTAAACTCCTTAAGAGTTTATATGGGTTAAAGCAGGCTTCAAGACAGTGGTATTGTAAATTGTCTGAATCTCTTAAATCTTTTGGTTATAGTCAATCTCAAGCAGACTTTTCTTTATTTACTAAAGTAACTAAAACTTCTTTTACTGCTTGTTGAGGTTTATTCCTTCAACCCTTGGACCCAACACGTAAGCCCAAAGATTTCGAGTGGAGTGAGTGTATGATATCTAACCCAACAAGCAGATGATATGAACTATAGAGAACAAGAAGTAGCAAGTAAATGGTTCGGTATTATTATCTCTTAATAACTCCCTAATACAATACTTCTTGCTAAGGGCTCCGTCGGCCGTTCGTCTTACAAGGCAGTAGAAGTGCTGCGAGTAAGGATGCTATAGCTAGTGCTAAGAATAGAAAGTTGCCAACCCCTTACAATGAAATAAATGCTTCTATTTATACCCGCCAATGGGCAGGTGGCTGTAGTGACGTGGCAGCCTGTGGACCGCTGGTGTCCCAACTACCAAATCTTTAGCATTAAATGCACTTCCCGCCAGAATCTAGGTTTCCCGCCGGATTAGTGGGGACGTTCATCAACCCGGGAAGTGAGTTGGATTGCTCCAAGTGTACCCTTGAGAGATATCGGCTGTTCGTCTCCTGGCCTTGGATGGTATTCGTCATGCGGACTGGGTTTCCCCGATGACTACAGGCTTGTAGTGGGGACGTTCGTCGCCATCCCTGGTGGCCCGTGGTTCTGCTCCTTGTCCCTGCATATACGTTCGTCGGGATGAGCTGCTGGGCCTGAGTCCCCCAACACCAGACGTTCGTCCATCCTCAGGGAACATGGGCCCGTGGGTTGGCCTAGTGTTCTAACTGGATGTTCGTCTAGCAAAATGGGTTAGTGGGCCGGACCTCGGCTTGGGCCCTTAACCCAACACAAGTCCCCCACTTCTGATGTTCTGAGCATGCGCAGGACATAAGGAAGTATGAACCTCCCCGAAGTGGACGTCCGTATCTTGGTACTTGTGTTTATTGCACCTGGTGGAAGCGTGCGTTCGTGGTCATGGTGCTTGACAGCCGTTGACGGTCCAGGAAACGAGGTGACGGCTGATGTTGCGGCGGCGCATTTTCCCGAGGAAGTGTCATCATTACGTTTCCATCCCACGCACAGCGCGTGGGCCGGAATACGCTCCTTGCCACGTGTCAGCCCCTCATTCGTTTCTTCATCGGTGTTTCTCCTATAAATGCTGGGTTTTCCCTCTGAATTAGGGTTCCCAATTTCTGCTTTCTTGCTCTCGATTTTCTGCAGCTCTTCAAGTTTCCTGAATCCAAGCTCGGCTAACTCCTTGCTAAGGTAATTTCCACCCCCTGCTTCTTTCCTTTGTCTTGAATTCTTGCCGAGATGGTTTCGATGGAGATCTCATCGAGTTCTGGTTCGGGTTCATCGGGTTCTTCTTCGGGTTCATCGGGTTCTTCTTCGGGCTCCTCCTCTGACTCCGGTTCACGCTCTTCGGGTGAGACTAGCACTTCCGGGAGTTCCGGTTCAGCCTCTACCGTGGGAACGGTCCAGGCCGGGGATGCCCAAGATGTGGTTGCTGTGGTGGTTCCTGGTGAAGAAGGTGCCGACTTGGGGGGGCAAGGGAATATGGCCCTCGATGTTGTGGATCCTGTGGCTGAAGCCGGGGAACAGGAGCCCGCTGGTGAGGACGAGCGTCCAGACGGGTATGACTCTGGGGTTGAGGCTCAGGATGGCTCCGACATCGAAGTATTCGAACTTGGGCTGAAGATAGATGTGGAGAGGCATCTGTGCCCGATCAAGAATGTCTTGTGCCATGAGCAGATCTTCTCGCCGGTGGCCCTCAACAAACTGAAGGTGTTCTTCCCCCCTCCGTCCGTATACAGCCTACGTGGTGCAACCCACGTGATGAGGAGACGCCCAGGGATGATTATGGTGCTTCTGGATTCCATCGAGGCTGGGCTGCGCTTCCCTCTTCATCCGTTCTTCGTGGAATTCTTCTGTTGTTACCAGATAGCCCCCGCTCAACTCATGCCGAATTCCTATCGGTGGCTCTCCGCCTTCCTAGTCCGTTGCAAGGACCACGGGGTCACCGCCACTCTGGACTTGTTCCATTATTTCTACCGGCTCACCCCCCAAAATTCTGACGGCTTCCTGAGCATTGCTGCTCGTCCGAAACGGAGGTTGTTCAGCGGAGCACCGAGCTCCATCCACGACTGGAAGAATCGGTTTTTCTTCGTGCGGTACGCGGATGCTCGTCTGCCGTTGCGTTGGAATGGCTATCCGCCCAAGATTGGATCTCCGGAGCTGACCAACGATCTGCAGGAGGACATCAAAAAGATCTCGACGGGCGGCATCCGCCCCTTAGACGACTTCTTAACCTTCGAGGCGCTCGCCGCGGCAGGAATAGGTACCGCCCATGCTCTTGGACATCTCCCCTTCTACGCTCGTCTCGGGGTATTGGGCGGTCCTCTCCTCCGAGGTGATTTTTTACTGACGTTCGTCCATCTAACCCATTTCCTTTGTCTTTTTCAGGTCTTCCCCCAACCCAGGAGCAGATGAATCACGAAAAAACTCCTCAAGAATCGGAAGGGGAAGGGCGCCGCGGCCGACGCTGCCCTTGCCAAGGCCAAAACCGTCCAGGCAGCTGACTCCAACTCTTCCGCCTCCCAGGCCGATCGTCGCACCGTGGAGGCGGAGCAGCACCTCATTGCCACGGTGTTGGCACAAGGGTCCCAGGCCCCAGTCCTTGATTCTGGCGTCCCCGAGGTTGTGGCGCCCCTGCAGGCCGTCCATCCCCAGGAGGGGGAGAAAGCGGACAAAAAGTCCAAAAGGCCCAGGGGAACTGGTTCTTCGGCCCTTGAAGGGCAAGGGGTGATCCTCCCCTCTCTCGGACGTCCGGCGCATGACGTTTGGCAGGAGGTTGCCTCTCTGGCCGGCGTGGAGATGCCTCCCCGCACGTCTTCGGAAGCCTCCAATGCGGCCCTGGCCGCCGCTCTTCAGGTAAGATCTCGCTCCGCGCGTGTTGCCTGATCACTTTTATTCTAATGTTTTGAAGTCTCACCTCCCGCATCCGATTTGTAGGTCGGGCTCTCCGTTCTGCAGTCTGAGGCTGCCCGAGATGCCGAGGTCCTCCAGGCGAAGACCAAGGCAGATGCTGCTCTGAAGAAGGCGAGAGAGGCCGCTCGTCTTCAGGAAAAGGAGCTTGCGGCCAAGGATAAAGAATTGCAGGCCGCCCTGAAGGCAGCTCGTGAGTCCTCCGCGAAGCTCGCGGTCCTCGAGAAGGCCGGGTTCAAGCTCGTCCCAGCTCTCCCTGCCCCCAAAGACGAAAACCCTGAATGGCTCGTCGACGATTCTGGGTACCACAACTCCGGGGCCTTCATGATTGCCGCCCAGAGGTACCTTGGGGGCGCCTTTGGTGATGTCTTCGCTGCCGAGCTGCAAAAGCAGGCGCCCAAGGACCGCCTCAAATTCGGGGTCCGAATCCTGGAGAGTGCGCCCCTGGCCGAGAAGTTCCTGTATGATGTCGGGGATAGCTCCTTCGTCATTGGCTTCAACGAGGGGGTGAAAGCCACATTGCCGGTCTTTACCGCTCTTCAGGGCCCCCGATTTGATCTGGCCGAGCATACCTCAGACCCAGA